AAGGTAGAACTAAGGCTTATAAGCGGATCTAAGTATAGTACTACTAGCCTAAATTATATCGAGACGTATATTATTATATCTCTACCTACTACGAATATTAGCTTATAAAGCTAAGGTATTATAAGCCGTATAGGCTACTAGCGCTACTACTAGCGCTAAGCCGTCTATAGTAAGAGATTTCGATAAACTTTATTATAGACCTCCTACCGGTCTAATATAAGAAGAAGATTTACTCTAGTATCCTAGTTATAGTCGACCGCTTAACCTATTATATATAGTATATTCCGGTATCGTCGCGTATATCTAGTAATAGCTTAGTAGATATATTCCTAAGGGAAATCTTTAAGTATTATAAAATACTTAATAGCATTATTAGCGATCGAGGGAGCCTATTTATAAGGCACTTCTAGGCTATACTTTACTATTTACTTTATTATAAGCAACGCCTTAGTATATCTTTTTATCCTTAAACTAATAGTTAAACTAAGTAGGTTAACTAAAAGATTAAATAGTACTTATAGACTTTCTATAATAAAGAGTAGTTAGATTAAATAAATAAGTTACTATTAGTAGAGTTTATATATAATACCTTATACTATAATATAGTAAAAGGAGCTCTAGCTAAGGTTTTAATAGGCTATTAGCTATAGTCTAAAAGTTATATTAAAGGATAACTTAAAAGCTTTAGTACCTAGGTAATAGACCGAGTCTAGGGTCTTAGAGAACTTTATATATATATAGCGCTCCTTATTATAAAGGCCTAAGAGTAATAGGCGCGATACTATAATAAAGATCGAGAGCCGATATCCTTTAAAGAGGGTAACTAGGTCCTTATCTTTACTAAAAACCTTCCGCTACGGCGCCTAACTAAGAAGTTAACTAAGAAGTATATCGGTCCTTACTAAATTAAGTAGGCTATTAAGGGGTATAAACTAGCCTATTATCTCCGCTTACTATTAGTAGTTAAAATCTACTATATCTTACTTATTAATAGCTTAGATATAACGACCGGTGTTATTCTTAAGGGATAAACCTATTAAGGGGTTTATATTAGTAGATATAATAGGGCGTAGTCTAAGTAATAATAAGTATATTATATTAGTAATAAGTTAGAGGTTATAAACTATAGACTATAACTAAGTAATTAAAATTAGAGATAGAATCGTAATAAAGATCTATATTAAAAGCTAGAGAGCTATTTATCTAAAAGAGTAAAAGTAGGTAGCTATATATACTTATAGAGACTATCCTTAAATTACGGTTCTAGCTATAATCCCCTTTATAGCTTACTATAGCTTACTTATAAGCTATACTCCTAAGTAGTAATCTATTTATATAAGGCTTACTTAGCTTACGTACTCTTTAAGTAAGCTTAGCCTAAGTAACTTCTTATCCTAACTATTATTCTAAGCCGCCTTATAACGTAAACGTAGCTAGCTCTCCTATAGCCCGCTAACTATAGTTATAATACAATATCTCCCTTCCTTTTAGTCTTATCCTTAAGACCTACTACTACCTTAGCCGCTATATATAAATATACCCTTATCGCGCGTATATATATTCCCTATTTTATCCTTTCTATCCCTTAGGATATACTACTAATAGTATATCTAGTTACGTATTAAAGGATCGTTCTTATAAGACCCTTAAGCGTATTTATTTAGCTAAGTCTATTAATCGTTTTAGTTTTAACGTTATACTATATTCTTTTTATTTATCGCGTAGCTTCTACTATAAAATACTAGAGAAATCTTCTAAGTATACCGAATATATATAGCGGGGTCGTTCCTACGATATATTAAGCATAGCGATTAGCTCTTATAGGTAACTTCGTTATCCTACTTATTATTTATAGCTAATATATTTCCTAGTATCCTAAATAAATCTAAAGTCCGATTAATTAAATAAAGAAGAAGAAATTACTAAGGAGCGAATATTAGAAGCTTAAGCCGACCTAAATAAAGCCTTAGCTTATTTAGCGTAGCTTCGCTATTAAAAGCGCTAGCTAAAAATAAAGGGTACTAAGATAGTCTATTAGGGCCTTTATTCCTTAAATAACCTTAACGAGGCTAAACGCTAAGAATCTAAAGCGGTAGTTAATATTTAGTTTATAGGTAGATTTAATATAATTAATTAGAATGCTATTAGTTCGTTAAGCGATTTTATAATACCTAGGGTAGATTTTACTAGTAGAACTATCGAAGTAGAAAACTATAGTAAGTTAAGTACTTAAATAGTTCCTAGGTATTTTCTTTTAGTCTATAACCCTTCTACTTAATAAGGTATTCTTATTACTAACTTTATTTTCTTATATTTAGTATTTATTTTACTTTATATTCTTAATTATTATTAACTTCGATTTTTTCTTATAGTTTAGCGTTTTATAGTACTAGTTCTAATAATAAGATATAAAATATTAGGTATATCTATATTATCGTTAATAGCGAAAGTTTATAGTTAACTTTTAAAATAGTTTTCTTAACCTTAAATAGTTTAAGTTTCTTAAAATCTAATTTATTACTTAGTTGTTTTATTTTAATATTTCGTAGTACGAGGTAGACTATATCTCCCTCTTAAAAGATTAGTCCCTATAATCTTTTCCGATTATAGTAAGTAGATATTCGTTCTCTAATAAATTAAAGTTCCTATTATATTTCTTTATATAATTTTTATAGCTAATCTACTTATAGTATTACTCGTTTTACTTATAGTCCTTATTAAGTAACCTTAAATACTTCTAGGTTATATCTATAATTAGCGTATACTATTAAGAGCTTAGTTATTTCTATAACTAAGCTATTATAAGTTAGTTATGCTATTAATAGCTATTTAACTTAATTATTTTATTTATAGCTAATATAATATTATAAATATTATTTAAGCGTTTAGTTAAGTCGTTCTATTTATTTATCTATTTATAAGTAATAAGCTATACTAAGCTTATATTTCGTCCTTAATTATACTATAAGAGCTTACTAAAACTTAGCTATAAATATACTTCCTTTATTAAAGATAATATCGTTTAATAGTCTATAATTACTAATAATTATTTATAGGAATATATATACTAGCTCTTTTATATTACTTACTTCTTTATATAGTAAAAAGTATCTATACTTTATTAGTTTATCGGTAATAATAAATATACTATTATATTTAACGTTAGTTATAGGTTCTTTTAATAGTAATAGCTTTATAATATAGTCGAAAGCTATTAAATCCTATAGTTTCTCTAGTACTAATAGCGGTTATAATTCTCTATATAGTTTATATCGTTTAGCTTTACTTTATATATAAAGTTTATATTTTTTAATAACTTATTATACTACTTCTTTAAGTTATAAAAAGTTATATTTATCGCGAAGACTATTACGCTACGCAGGCAAAAGTAGAACGCGCTCCGACAGGTGCGCTGCAATTGACACATATGACTGACAACCGCGTCTTCCGACACACCCCCTCAGGGATCGCGGCTCCGCCGGGAGCCCTAGACCTTATAGCCCAAGACGCGGGAGTCGAACACCAAGCGCCACGCCAATAACCCAAGGAAATCCAAGAGAGGTAGTCGTCTACGGGGGATTAAACCCCGCACCGCGCGTAGTTACCGGAAGTTGCAGGGGTGGTGTGCTATCCCCTCCCGGGCTTATAACTATCGCGAAGACTATTGCGCTACGCAGGCAAAAGTAGAACGCGCTCCGATAGGTGCGCTGCAATTAATATATATAACTAACAACCGCGTCTTCCGATAATATTATCGTTGAATCTATTTTATTATTCTTTAGATTCCTTAGTATCTATATATTAAATATTTATATATATCTTATATAACTTTATCTTATAATTCTAGTAATATCTAGATTTTATTTTTATATATTAAAACTTCTAAATATTTTATATTATATCTATTTAGTACTTTATATTCTTTTATTTATTTTAGGATCTTTTAGTATATCGAGTTATTAGGTTATACTTTAAATATTATATTTAGCTATTGTTACTAGTAGTTCCTATTTTCGTTAATTTCTAAGAGCTATCTTTTTACTATAAGTGCCTTTATATTATAGTTACTTCGTCGACTAAGGGTATTAGCTTAACCGTTTTCTATCCCTTTTCTATAAATTATTTTATAGTTAAATTCTAATAAGTATTTAGCTTATTAGATCTATCGTCCGTTTAACTATTATATTATTAAAAAGTATAAGATATTTGTCTAGATGCGGAGGACTTCATTATGTGGGGACATGGGCTCTACTGGCCCTACGCGAGAAGGAGGCTTTATAGGAGGGTCTCGGAAGACATTCGGACCGGGGTTACACGCCTCCCTTCATTCCTCCCTTCCTTCCTTCTTCTCCTCCTTCCTCATTCTTCTTCATCTTTTCTTCTCTTCATAGATTACCAATACAACAGTCACAGGCATAGCTCTTTAGCACCTTTGATTCGTATTCTCTATCACCCCTGTGCACAGCACGAATACCCACGACCCAACACTGATCAGTGGTTGAACGTCTGTTTAACCACAGAAAGTTAGGTATCGAAAAGCATCCCCGTTTCCTCGAAGAATTCCCTGCGAGACCTATTTCTATAGGTTGCACCACAGTCCCGAGAGAGGAAGTTTGCAAGTGGAAGAGAAAGACCTGATTCCTTGAAGAATTCCTGCGAGACCTATTTCTATAGGTTGCACCACAGTCCTGAGAGAGGAAGTCTATGCTACACACACGACAAGAACCGACTAGACCAAGCCGGTAGGAAAGCCTTGACATCACAACAATCAACATGTCACAAGGACAAACAGAAGGCATAAGGGTTATACAACCTCAAGAAGATGTACGCCTACGCCAACCTATTTCTGCTCAGGAATTTATGCGCGGAACCGACTTCGCGGCCGATTTTTCCGCTATAGACCCTCAGCTTCGATTCAAAGATATCTCAGTCGATAATATAACGGAGATACATGCAACCACGTACGCAGCTAAGGCCCTAAAGCCTATACTCTTGAGAAGATGTGGGATGATGAAGTCTTCCATGCTTTCCAACAAGACTTTGAAGGATGGACGCTAGACATGTTCCTTATGGTTGAAATTTCATACCGGCGGGAGCTCCGCCGGGTTCTCCGCCGAAAGGGAGTATATACTGGGACGAACCACCAGCGAATCGAACGATCCTTGATTAAGCTACTCGAAGCCGACAGTTTCCCTACTTGGGACCCTGAGGAATTCACAAAACAGATATTTGACGTACGATCAAATGCTTCCTGGCAACAACAAGCCCTCGCAACGCCTTCTTCCCGAGAGAATATCCAAAATCCGACCCAAGACCAGTCACCAAGGGACCAGCCTACAACCCAAGCCCAGGCTTTGCAACAGCAGCAACAGGTTGTTTCCCAAGGACCCCAGAGGCCTCCCGAGCAAGCCCAACAGATGACCCCAAGGAACCTTATTCCAAGCCCCATTTTCCCAGGAAAGCTTTCCCCAAGACATCCCCACTCAACAGACCCAGACGAAGTCTATTCCCCAAGCCCCCTTACTACAGTCATTTCCTTCAAGGCAGACCCAGCCTGACGGGCATCAGCCGTACAAGGCCCTGCCCCCTCGTTCCGTTCCGAACGAACGGCTTGACCCCGCCGTTTCTGCCCAGTTTCTAAAGACCTTTGACAAAGACCAAAAGTACACAGGCGAGCCCTACGACCTCCTTGACGATAAGATGAAGATCTTTTCAACATCTGCTTCCATGCACAGATCCGGGAGACCCAATTCTATGCGGTATTTCCTAGATTCTTAACGGACGAGCAGAAACCTTCTACCTTCATTACGTCGATCAAGACGATACATTTGCAATAGCGTATCACAAGGTTAAGACGCATTTCGACACCGATGTTAACCATCATCACTATTACACCGACTGGACAACTGCTACCTTCGATAGGGTCCGTAGGGAACATAGTGATAAGACCCTACATCAGGTTCTTCAGCTGCTACTTGATAAGCTACAGCTTTGCCAGAGGCCCTAGGCCCTGAGTATCGAGGGAGGATAATTTACGTACTACAGTTATCCGAGCCTGCCGAGGAGTCATAGAACTTGAACACGCATTGTTCAAGCCTGCCCGCGTGTGCGAAGAGCTTTTTGCTGATTTACGGTCTTCAATCGAGACCTCTATCAGTAGACAAGCTATATATACAACCTCGACGGACAGCTACTACATGGACCGACGGTACAATCAGTACGGTAGGAACCGCGGATATTCCTCTTTCGGCCCCGAGGGAACCCACAAGGTAGCCGAGATCAGAAACGACAGTGGACGAAGAAGTGCTTCGTTTGTGGAAAGCCAGAATGTTGGTCAACGAGGCATTCCGACGAAGAAAGACGTAAGTCACGAAGCCAGTATATCTCACAATGCCACTTCAGTGGGTCTACGGCCACAGCTACGGACTACGCTGCCTACCTCACGGAATATGAAGGAGCCGATACGGACGAGGAAGCCGACTTTGACCCTAGTGACCCGTTTGACGACGAAGACGAAGACCAGTTGCAGGACGTAACGCAGTTCCTTACAGACCAGGCTTTCTTGCACCAAGTCACCGGAGAAGACATCTACGCCGATAATGCCCCAAAGACCCCATCCAACCAGTTCCTTATTGAGGACCGGTATGCAGGACGCTTCCAAGGCATCCTTCCAGATACCGGTGCAGCCAACGTCTCGACTGTCGGTATGCAACAGTATCTTGCGCTGCAGCGGGAAGATCCTTCCGTTGCTATAGATAAATCGACAGCCGGAAGAGCTTCCATCACGTTCGGAAAAGGAGAGTCAACATCGTCTATAGGGAATGTTAACGTACGAACAGCTATTGACAGATCGACTTCCAGGTCCTCAACGCTCTGACCCCTTTCTTGCTTTGCCTTGCAGACATGGATAGGCTGCACGTCTATTTCAATAATACCACAGACGAACTTATCCAAGGCGAGACCCGCATCCCTATTATACGCAAATGGGGACATCCTTGGTTTCATCTTAGCAAGCAAGAACAGAGCCTTTTCTTACAGAAGGGAACTACGTCGCCTACATCGCCGTTTCGGGCACCCCGCTACAGATCGCCTATTCAAGCTGCTAACCCGGGCCGGCCACGAAGTCGAACAGCAACGGCTAGAGGAAATCGGCAAATTCTGTCATCACTGCCAACTACACGGACGAGAGCCTCGTAGGTTTAAATTCAGCCTAAAAGATGACCATGAATTCAACTATGAAATTCTTGTCGATGTGATGTACTTAATTAGCCGCCCTGTCTTACATGTCGTCGATTCTGCTACTGCTTTCCACGGGCTAGGTTCCTGAAGTCCCTATCAACAAAGGACACTTGGGAAGCCCTCCGCTGCTTATGGATCGATACGTACCAAGGACCCCCGGACGTTGTTACCCACGATGCAGGTACGAACTTCGCCTCAACGGAATTTCAAACCGAGGCCAAGATGCTAGGGATTACCTGTAAGGAAGTCCCTATTGAAGCCCATTGGTCTATCGGCAAGGTTGAACGGTACCACGGCCCTTTGCGACGAGCGTTTGAGATTATGTACGCAGAGCTCTCAAGCCAGGCAGACGCAGATTCGATCCTCCAGATGGCCGTTAAAGCAGTCAACGATACCGCCGGACCAGACGGACTTGTACCTACCCTTCTTGTCTTCGGGGCTTACCCTCGAATCACCGCCGATTCGCCGCCGAATCCCTCGGTAATCCGACGCGGTGAGGTCGTACGCAAAGCTATGAAGGAACTACGCAAGTTTATGGCCAACCGGGACGTTAAAGAGGCCCTAGGCACACGCAATGGTCCAACAACTATTGACGTTCTAAACCTCAAGTTGCAAAGCGAGGTATGCGTTTGGCGGGAGAAGGTTGGCTGGCGAGGCCCCTATAAGGTTATAAGTATAAAAGACCATGATATCACGGTTGATATGGTTAACGGACCAACGACCTTCCGATCAACTGTCGTGAAGCCGTACTATAAGGACGATAACTCCCCTGCTGCCCCCGGCACGGACGAACAACCTCGGAAGAGAGGACGCCCGCTTAGATCGACGAATGCACCCGCAGCTCAGACAACGGAGCCCGCAGCCCAGACAGCCGTAAAGCCGCCCACAGGACCACGCAAGCGAGGTCGACCCCCGGGATCGAAAAATAAGAAGCATAGCTTGTACAACGCCCAGACCTTCCTACAGAAACGGGAAATGGACGATATTGCCCTTGCCATTAAGCTTCGAGACGACGGCGTCATTACAACGCCAGGTGCCCCGTTTGAACAGTCCGATCAAAAGGAAATCAATGACCTCATCGGACGAGGGGTATTTACCTTCGAGTTATTCGACCCGACCAAGCATCGAGGAACACGGATTTTCAAGTCACGATTAGTCCGAGAAGTTAAAGGAAAGTATATAAAGCCGTACGAAAAGTCTCGCCTCGTAGTCCAAGGCTATAACGACGACGAGAAGAACACTCTTTGACCCAATCGCCTACCATCCAGCGGGCTAGTCAAAGACTAATCATAGCCCTTGCCCCAACGCTCCTTACGTCCGGTATGTCCTCGAACTAAGGGATATATCACAAGCCTATACGCATTCAACGACAGGACTTGCACGCCTAGTCCTAACCTATCTTCCCATCGAACTACAGGATAAGTACCCAAAGGACTATCATCCGATCGTCCGCCCTCTTTATGGCATTGCAGAAGCAGGCCTACATTGGTTCGCAACATACCACAAGCATCATAGGGAGCAGCTACGGATGTCGACTTCAACGTTCGACCCATGCCTCCTTATAACGAACACGGACCCCAACCAAGCGTTTGGCATAGTGGGCATGCAGACGGATGACACCCTGATCCTCGGAACAGCAGGCTTTTCTGTACACGAAGAAAACAAGATACAAGAAGCTAAGTTTATCGCCAAGCCAAAGACAAAGCTTTTAATTTCTTCGGCCCTAGACTTCAACGGCTGTACGCTTGCACTAGACGAAAAAGGTCGAATTCACCTTAAGCAGAAGGGACAAGCTAAGAAAATCGCCCTTATTAACGTGGAAGCTTCTGATCGTATGCAAAAGTACATGGAACAACGCGCCCGAGGAGCCTATATCGCCTCAATCTGCCAGCCAGAAGCTACGTGTGATATGTCAACCGCGGCACAGGTCCAACAGCCCACAGACACGGACTGCATCACCTCAACAAAAGACTCAAATGGCAACAGGACAACCTACAAAGAGGGATCCAATACGTGCCCCTAGACCTACAGACAGCTAAACTAATGGTCTTTACGGATGGATCATTTGCCAACAATAAGGACCTCTCATCACAAATCGGCTTTCTTGTTATGCTTGTTAACGAAAAACAAGAAAGCTCCGAGGATGTTCCTTCTTTTAACATTAACGGCGATTTGATCCATTGGAGCTCTACGAAGTGCAAGAGGGTAACCCGAAGTGTGCTTGCCTCCGAGATCTACGGCATGACCGACGGATTTGACATCAGCCTTGCTATTGCAACGACCCTAAGAATGATCACCGACCGACTGAATCTCCTCCAATCCCCTTATCGTCTGCGTAGACTCTTATTCCCTTTACGAATGCATTGTCAAGCTCGGCACAACAAAGGAAAAGCGTCTTATGATTGACATTATGGCTCTACGGCAGTCATATGAGAGACGGGAGATATTAGAAGTCCGATGGATCAACGGCAACGACAACCCAGCTGATGCAATGACGAAGGCGTCACCAAACAAGGCCCTTGAGCGCTTCATCTCGACTAACCAGCTGACTATCCGGGTAGAAGGGTCAGTCCATAGGCCAGTGTGAAACAGAGCGTCTCCTTGCCTTTTGACTTCTTTCCTTCCTGGCCACTAGATTATCAACCAGCTATATTGTTACCTTTGTCTTTCCTTGAAAGAAAAAGTTGCTAGTGTCTAGATGCGGAGGACTTCATTATGTGGGGACATGGGCTCTACTGGCCCTACGCGAGAAGGAGGCTTTATAGGAGGGTCTCGAAGACATTCGGACCGGGGTTACACGCCTCCCTTCATTCCTCCCTTCCTTCCTTCTTCTCCTCCTTCCCTCATTCTTCTTCATCTTTTTCTCTTCTCTTCATAGATTACCAATACAACAGTCACAGGCATAGCTCTTTAGCACCTTTGATTCGTATTCTCTATCACCCCTGTGCACAGCACGAATACCCACGACCCAACAATATTCTTATAATCTATATAGACCTTAACTTTATATTTACTTTTAAAAAGGTAGTATCGAAATTCCTTAAAAGCCTAAATAATTATAAGGAATTATTTATCGTAAATAAGGTAATTAAGTTCTATACTATTTAGCTTCTTTAAATAAAATGCAATTAGTTATAGTCTTCCTTTATTATCTTTTTATCTAATTTATACTCTTAAAGTAAAGTCTAATATATTAGTTTTAAGTTCGATTTATTATTCTAGATCGAAGGTAGTTAAGACTAGTTCTTATATAATTATAGTCTTAATATATTTAAAAGCTTCGTTAGCTTTATCGTCTTATATAAATTCTTTTTCCTTCTTTATTAAGTTATATAGTAATACTATAATCTTTCCGAAATCTTTAATAAATCGTTAGTAGTAATTTATAAATCCTAGGAAACTTTATATATCTTTAACGTTCTTTAATATTAGCTATTCTTTAACTAAGTTAATCTTATCTTATTATATTTATATCTCTCTTAGTAAGATTATATATTTAAGGAAGTCTACTTCCTATATATAGAACTTACTTTTATTTAGTTTAACTAATAACTTTATATTTTAAAGTATATAAAGTACCTTATAGATATATTCCTTATATTCTTCTAGGGTATCTAAGAAGATTAAGATATTATCTAGGTATACTATTATAAAGATATCTAAGTATTTATATAAGATATTATTAATTATCTATTAAAAGGTAGCTAGTATATTTATAAGTTTAAATAGTATTACTAGATATTTAAATAATCTAAATTTTATTTTAAAGGCTATTATTTATTTATATCCCTTTTTTATATATATTAAGTTATAAGCGCCTTTAAGATCGAGGGCTATAAACTATTTTTTACTATATAGTTAATCTTATAGTTCTAATATAAGCTATAATAGTATTCGGTTTTTTATTATAATATTATTTAAGCGTCTATAGTCGATAACTAGTTATAGCTTACCGTTTTTCTTTAAAATAAATATAACTAGGTAGCTTACTTTAAATATTAACGTTTATATATATCCCTTTTATAGATTCTTATTAAGGTAGTCGCGTAGCGTTTATAGTTACTTTTCGTTTAAGTTATAGATTTTATAGAATATCGGCGTTATTCTATCCTTAAGATAAATTTCGTAGTCTTATTAGCTATATTTAAGTAACCCTATCTTAAGTTCTTCCTTAAAAAGTTTATTATATTTCTAGTATTCTTAAGGGATACTCTTTATTTTATCTTATAGGCTTTATTCTTTCTTTTAAAAGCTAGTTTCTCTTAACTTAAGCTCTTTATTAATTTATTTAAGGTCTTTCCTTAAAGTAGTAATAACTCTTTAGATCTTTATATTATATCCTTTATTTTATTTATATTAGATACTAGGTTATATAGCTATATTAGTTAGTATATAGGTCTTATTAGTCGATTTTATTATATCCGCTAGTTCGGTTACTATTTTCGTTTATATTACTAAAGCCTATAATAATTTACTTAAACGGTTATCCCTTTTATTCTATTTAGTAGCTAAATTATCGTAAAAATTTACTTTCTTTTAAATCTACTAGTCTTAGAAACTTATATCTTCGTTTTAATATAGCTAGCTAGTTCTCTAGTTAATTAGTAGGTTACTCTCTTATAGCTATAGAAGTCTTAATATAAGGTTATATTCTTTAATATCTATAATATCGAAGTTAACTTATTTATTATAGCCCTAGATATTAATATTAAGGTAATTAATCTCTATATTAATAATTCCGTTATTATAGTTAAAGGCCTCTCCTTTAATATTTATAAGTTTATATAGATCTTTCTTATATCTTTATATAAGTTAATAACGATTAATAACTCTAGGTAAAACGTAATTACCTATTGCGTTATAGTCTAAAAGTATATATATATAATATCCCGCGATTTAGATATCTAATATTATTTAGTTACTATAGCTTACTATTACTATATATAAGGTCCTTAGATATTATTATATTATACTAGTCTATAGCCCTTTTATAAATAGTATACCTCGTTTTTTACTTAGTTCTTATTCGTTTTATTTAAGTATTCTTCTTTAATTTATTATTAATATTGTTTCTTTATATTTTTATCGCGTAGTATTATATTAAGGCTTAAGAAACTAATTTCCTATAGCTAATTAAAGATTCTTTATTTCTTAACGCTATATCGTTTATATTATACTACTTTATAGTTAATTATATACTATACTTTATAATTCTATTTATTTTTATACTAAAGGTTAAGTTTTCGTTTTATATCTTTTTATTTTTTATATAGTATTTCCTTATCTATTCTTCCTTAGTCGAATATAGCTTATAGCCTTTATATATATTACTAATAATCTTTTAGTATACTATTATATTATTTATACTATACTTATACTTTTTTATATTTATAAACTCTATAGTTTAAGTATATATATTTATTATAATCTTCTTTATTATATTTAACTTATTATATAAGTCTTTAAATAATTAAGGGTTTAGATACCTTAAAGTAAGTAGCGTTATACTATTCTTTTATTTTAGCGTATTTATAGATTTTATATATCTTTAAAAGATATCTCGTTAATATACTATAATTATTATAGTATTTAAGTAGCGTACTATAATTAGGTTTTAATAATATAACTTAGTTATTTAAGTAACGTTAATAGATTTTCTAGTAGTTTAGTTTTATACTTAAGTAGGGTTTCGAAAGTACTTATCCTTTAAACCTAACTAAGAAGGCGTTATATTATACGTTTATCTAAAAGTATATTATATAATCTAAGTAGACGTATAATATCTATAAAATATACTTATAGTACTTATAAGTAAGTAGTATTTATAGGTTATTTTTAAATTCTCCTTATAGTTACTATTCTTATTATAAAGCTATAAAGGTATCGACTATAGCGATAGCTATAGTATAGTCTCCTCTATATAATACTAGTTAATACTAAATTAATATAGCTTATTAGTTTTCTATAAGAATTTAAGGTATTTATTAAGTTTTAATTTTAAGTATTTCTTTAAATTCTTTAAAGTATAGAGCGTATTCTCTAATTATAGTAATTTCCCTTAATAATAAGGATAGTAATATAAGTTTATTCTTATCTTTTATTTCTCTAGGTATTTCTTATTTTTTAGAGCTTATATTATTAATACTTTATTATTCCTTTTTAAGTTACTATCTAAGTTTCGTAAGTATAAGGGCTATATCTATATCTTCTTTATTATATTATTTATAGACTACCTATTATTATTATCGATTTTTATTTTATATATCTTCTTAGAATTATTTACCGTTCTTCTTAATCTAGTCTTAAGAGACTCCTTTAAGATAAGGGTATTCCGGTTCTATAAATTTAACTTATTTCTATATTTTAAAATCCCTTTACTATATTATTATAAGGGTTTTCCTTAATAGCTTTAAGAACTATCTAGTACCGTTCTTATCGCTTAAGTATACTATATATTTATCGTTATAGTATATAGTTTAACTAAGGAGTTTATACTTTCGTTCCTATCTATTAATAGCGTTTAAGTATTTCTTACCTTTTAAGGCTAGTACTTAATAGGTTTTCTTTTCTTTATAAGGTTATCTATATTCTTTAAAGTAATATCTAAGTTTCTTATAGTTAAAATACTTTCTTTTACTTTTTTATATTACGTTTAAGTCTATCCTACCTAGGTTAGTTATATAAGTATAGGTAATAAGAGTTTCGCGCTTCTTTTTATAGTTAGCGTATTAGTTAAAGTTATTCTTATAAGAAGGGTTTTAGTTTCCTCTTCCTTATTTCTTTTCTTAGCGTCGCGTATACTATCTATCGTTAATTTATACTATTATAGTAATATAGTCTAAGAGGTTATTAAGTCGATTTTCCTTATAAAGCTCGTCCTTAACTTCTTTTTTAAGCCCGTTATAGAATCGTAATATAAGAGGTTCGTCGTCCTAATTAAGCTTTAAGGTAAATTAATAGAACTTTATAGTATAATTTAATACTAAGATCCTTTATCGGAGTTCTTAAAGTTTCTATTTAGCTTCTTATTCCTTATTAGTTATTCTAAATACCTTTATAATAGCTTCTTTAAATCCTTAGAAATTAATAAAGACTTTATCTATCTTATTATCTTATTACGCTAGTTAGTTATTAAGAAAATCCCTTATTATAGGTCTAAACTAAGTAAGTACTATTTTAAATAAATAATTTCCTATATAAAGTACCTTTTCGACTAGGTCTAAGAGTTTTATAGGGTAAAACTAGTAGTAGGCCTTAAGTTAAGTAAGAAAGTCTTAAAGTATACTATAAGTACTATTAAGTAGTCTTAGCTATTTTAGTCTAATTACTTCTATAAGGTCTCTAACTTATCCGTTGCCTCCTTTATTCCTAAGTAACTATACCTTATATTAAAGGGTAATAATCTTATATATTATATCTTAAGGCGATATAGTAGCTCTAAAGTTAGTTAATCTAGTTTACTATATAGGTATATTAATAGTTATAATATTACTTAAAGTAATATAGTATTATACTAAATAAGAGCTTTTAATATATAACGACCGGTATTATTCCTAAGAGATAAACCTATCGAGGGGTTTATATTAGCAGATATAATAAGGCGTAGTCTAAGTAATAATAAGTATATTACGTTAGTAATAAGTTAGAGGTCGTAAACCGTAGACTATAACTAGGTAATTAAAATTAAAGATAGAATCGTAATAAAGATCTATATTAAAAGCTATTAAGCTATCTATCTAAAGGAGTAAAAGTAGGTAGCTATATATACCTATAGAGACTATCCTTAGATCACGGTTCTAGCCGTAATCCCCTTTATAGCTTACTATAGCTTACTTATAAGCTATGCTCCTAAGTAGTAATCTATCTATATAAGGCTTACTTAGCTTACGTACGCTTTAGGTAAGCTAAGCCTAAGTGACTTCTCGTCCTAACTATTATTCCGAGCCGCCTTATTATATAAACGTGGCCGGCTCTCCTACGGCCCGCTAACCGTGGTCGTAATATTAAAGCCTTACTAGAGTCGAGATAAACAGCTAGTTAAGCCTAAGGACCACTTATTTATAACGGAGACTATATATAATATAGAATAAATTCTCGATTATTATAGGCTAAAAAGTTATCGACGATACCTTATAAAATAAAAAGGTTATAAAGAAGAAGAGAACTCCTAGGTATCTCGTTATAACTTCGTAAATAAGGCGTTCTTAATAGACTACGATTAATCTATAGGTCTAAGGTCCTAGGAGTTTAGGACGAACTCCTTAGGAGGTAGGGCAACCTATTACGCGCTTAAAGCTATAGGTTATACGATCTAAAACCAAAGTAAGGATTACGACGCGCGGCTAGAGGTATATAAGGACGTAGGGATACCTATAGCCTACTAAAGGAACTCTTTAAAGATTAATAAATTAAATAATTAACCCCCGTTCTTTACTTTCTATTTAGTTCTATATACGCCTTATAATTACTTAGTCGGTGGTCGGAGTCTTAGTCGGAACGGTTAAAACGGATATACTAGATTTACGTTAAGCGCGTATAACGTAAAAGCTCGGTACCTATTTACTTAATCGCTAGTAAGCGATCTTATTAAGCTTTAAGTAATATTATAGCTAGGTATATATAAGCCTTAATAGCTATAAAGATATATTAGCACTATAAACGAAGACTTAAAGCTAAGGAGTAAGAAAGAAAGACTAGACTATACGACCGAGCTAGCCCTTATATATATATATACGAGGTTACCTTAGCAGCGCTTAGGTAAGCATAAGGTCGCACGTGGGCACGTAATGCTGCTTGGGCACGCGACACTGGTGAGGTTCTGCGCTGGTGTCTCTATGCTGGCGCGCAGGGTCGTAACAGTCCGGATCTTATCGTCAAGGAGGTCGTAAGGCTAGCCAGAGTACGAATCTTCCTTATTCCAGATCTTGAGGAATAGTGCGTGTGCCTGGCCGTTAGGCCGGGCGTTGGGCACATTCCTTGGTGGTAGCGTGTGGTATGGGTCAAAGTCGTCTAGGGTCTCAGGTTAGGGCTGTGGGTTGGTTAGAGGTTTTGAGTCTGCTCGCGTTCGATGTAAGAACGAATAGCTCGTTGGGGATTATGTGAAGGGCGTTAGAGAGATTCCTTCCCACTGGACTTGGGGTTGCGTAGAGGAGGGTTGTTAGTGAGCCTGTTGGGGATCGGGTTGAGGTTCGGGTTGAGGTTCCGGCGTTGGGGTCTCAATCGAAGTAATAGGGGCGGTTATAGGTGTATTTGAAGTGATAGGGGCGGCTATGGGTGCGTTCTTATATAGACCTTCTTGCCACGTATCCGGGTCTTGTCGTACGATAGCAAGGAGGGCTAGGTCGTGACGAAGTCGGCTATTAGTCGTATTCGCAGTGACGCCTCGGTCTCGAAGATATTTCCGAAAGGCCGGGCGTGATGTATTAGTCATTACTGCGAATAGCTCGGCAGTCCAGCCTTCGAAGTTATATTGGAACGCAAGGAATAAGTCCTCGCCGGTTATCTCTGCTCTTTCGTATGCAACCCAGGCGTCGGCAACGCGTGTGTTAATGTGAAAGGCTGGCCCGGAGTTTATTCAACAAGCAGGTGCCTAGGTGTTGTCTATCTAGAGCTAAGGAGGAAAAGAAGCTGAACTCGAGGCGTAGCCTCGAGTGCGAGCTTATATTGCCCTTCTCGGAATGTTCTCGCAGCTTCTGGGTCCGCGGAGCGGGGCCGGTGTTGCCACCGGAGCACGACCCACCGGACCCGGTACAACCGGGTCCACCAGCCGGGCACAGCCCGTGACATTACCCCCCTTGTCCCCTCCGACCAGGTCGGCGTCTGCGGGGTTCTTGCGTTCCTGCCAGCGTCTCGTACCTCTCCCTAGGGCCATCATTGGTCTTGATTGGCCCGTACTTGTCCTCGAATGCCTTCATCGCAATTGTTCCTGCAACCACTCAACTGGCTCCCAAGTCGGCTCTGCGTAGCCCGTCCATCGCACTAGTGCTTGCCTGAATTCCCTCGTCCGCGCTTCTTCCATCTCGCGCAGAGGATCTCGTCGACATCCCACAGATCCGTGCCGGACTCATCTTGTACCGGTGGTGGCTGTGCGTCATCTACCTTTGGCCAGGAGCCGGATCTTGATGCGCCCGCCGCAAAGGTCAACATGAAATCGCGGGTAAATTGAGCCACGAACATCGAGCTCAACAACGTGCGAACTAATTACCTTCGTGACTGTGTACTTGTGATGCAGCCAGTCGAGCTTCTTGCACGGTCGTGGCGATCTGTAGTTTGCCATCGAGAGCCACACCTTGTCACCAACTTCAAATCGCTCCGCAGGCTGTCGCTTTGCGTTGGCAGCCTCTTCTTGTTGTTGCTGTGAGGAGGCCATCACTGCTTGCATGTACTCATTGACCTCCTGCAGGCGACTGAGTAGGCTATCAGCTCTGCTTTCCTCTCTATGCCTCGGTGGCTCTTCCGATTCCTCGACGCTGATGGGATCGACGTGGTAACCATGCTCAGCGAAAAAGGGGCTGATCTTGGTCGCTGCGGATTCACGATTGTTGAGTGCCAGCTGCGCGGGGAGCAGTTCTCCCAGTCGTCCTGCACGTACGACACGTAGGCTCTCAGGTAGGCCTCGATCTCCTGGTTCATTCTCTCTGGCCTCCGTCCGTCTGAGGATGATAGGCCGTGCTCAATTTCTGCGTGACACCTGCAAGACGGCAGAACCTCTTCCAGAACCTACTTAGCCAGTTGCTCCCGCGGTCGCTGACGATGGACCGTGGCATTCCGTGAAATCGGTAATGACACTGGAGAAAACGGTTTGCACACGGCTCAGCTTCCATGTTGTCCATCACCTCGAGGGTCACAGCCTTTGTCAGTCTGTCCACAATCACCCACAGGTACCTTGCCTTGCTCGGTCCAGTAGGCGGCAGATCTGTGATGAAGTCCATGGACAAATGGCTTCGGGGTCGATCTGGAATCGGCAGAGGCTTGAGAAATCCCTTTCGACTGGCGCCAGATGTGTGCTCTGCCGCAGGTGTCGCAATTGGCTACGTACCGGCGAACCAGCTGGGACTGCCCAGGCCAGTAGAATCGCCGAGCCACAATAGCCAGCGTACCTTCCCTGCCGGGATGACCGGTCGCAACAGAGTCATGCGACTGCTGCACAATGCGGGTTCTCAACTGGTCTTTCTCAGCTTCCTCCTGGTTACCCTCCTCTCCGGATCCACCCGGCACCCAAATACGGTCTCTGAATGTCAGCCTTTGCCTGCGTCGATCGCACATTCTGAAATCTGGATCTTCAGGCCCAGCGAGGGCGGGAAGGCACGCTCGCGATCGCGGACTGCCTTATAGGCTGCCCGGAATATCGAGTCCTTCGCCACCGTTTCGTCCCAGAGTTGCTGCAGGTCCGCTACCTCGAAGACCTTCATCTTCGGCAGGGTGGATGCCTCTGAACAGTCAGAACTCATCGCGTTGATACATGCTCTTGTCGATGATGGAATGGCACTATCCGGTATCAACTGTATCATTCTTCCTTGTTCCCGCTCGTCGTCAATGCCCTGTGGCTTGTCTTGTTCACGGCGGGACAACGCATCAGGCACGACAGCCTCGCTTCCCGGTCGATACTCGAGCTTGAAGTCGAACTGGGACAATTCGGCTGCCCAACGGCTCTGCCGTTCCGTGAGCTTCTGGCGTGTCGCGAAATACTCCAGGTTGCGGTGATCGGTAAGGATTGTAAATGGGCCGCAGCTCCTAAGTTCGGCGTTCCAGTTGTCGAGACATCTCATGATGGCAAGCATCTCCTTGTCGTGAATGGGATAGTTGTACTCCGCTGGCGAAAGTCGCTTCGAGAAGAAGGCGCATGCGTGTCGACGTCCATCTGGGCCTTCCTGCGACAGGACGCCTCCCAATGCGTAGCCTGAGCAATCCGTCTCCAAAAAGGTCGGGAGGCTCGGGTCCCACTGCTTGAGCACCGGTGACTCGCAAAATCGTCGCTTCAGCTCCTGAAACGCCTCGTTCTCCGCTCGTCCCCAATGAAAGGCAGTTCCTTTCTTAAGCAGGGCATCCAGAGACTGCGTGATCTTGGCATAGTCGGGGATGAAGATCCGGTAATAGTTGGCGAAGCCCAGAAAGCTTCTGACACCCTTCACCGTGGTCGGGCCTCCCATTCGCGGATGGCGCGCTGCTTTCGGGGTCGCAGGCGATTCCTTTCCTGCGTTGACGATGAACCCAAGGTATTTGACCTCTTGTACCGAAAACTCGCACTTCGCTGGGTCTAGGTGCAGCCCAGCGTCGGCGAGTGCTTGGAGAACTCGTCGCCCCTAGCCTCATGATCCGCCTTCGAACCGCTCGAGTAGATCAGTACATCATCCAGGTACGCTGTGACAAAGTCGTCCAGCCATTCGCGCAATACACTGTTCATGTATCGTTGGAATGATGCCGGGGCGCCGCTCAGGCCGAAAGGGCACACGAGCCACTCGTAGAGCCCAAACCTCGTGCGAAATGCAGTCTTTCCTCATGTCCCGGAGCCATGCGGATCTTATGGAAAGCGGCCACCACGTCCAACTTGGTGAACCACTTAGCCTTGGCCAGATTCTGCAGGGTCTCCGCGATGAGGGGCAGTGGGTATCGGTCGCGCTTGGTGATTGCATTCAGCGCTCGGTAGTCGCAACAAAATCGCAGCCCTCCATTCGGCTTCCGCACGAACAGCACCGGCGCGGCAGCCGCTGAGCTACTCGCTCGGATGAATCCTCTGTCCAGCAGGTCTTTCAGGGTCTTTCGCAAGACCAACAGCTCTTCTCGTGACATGTTGTAGAGTGGGCCCCACGGAAGGGGTGGCTCGTTGCCGTTCTTGTCAGGCTGCAGGTTGACTTCATGATCCACACCCGGTCGATGTGGCGGCAGCTTCATTGCCTCTCCTGGTGAGAATAGGTCGCGGAATTCTTTCAGCACTTCTGCCGGGACCTTCTCGCTCGGATCGACTGGCGGCTTCGGCTGAAGCGCCCTCTATATCCGACAAACTGATTGCATGAATCGAGATCGCGTTGCACTTCTTGCGTCTCTTTGCGCGTCGACACTCCGCCGTGAATACGGCTGCCGACACGAGTCTTGCGCTTCGAATCGCGCGTATCTTGGCGGGCTCTTCCTGCCCAATGAGGCGTATCGTCACACCTGCCCTCCCATGGTACATTCGCTGCTTGGCAGCATCGTACACGACGTGATTTCTCTCCATCCAAGGCCGGCCGAGGAACATGTCCTGGCCCAGGCTTGGGATCACGTATGCAAAGACACGTTCGTCAAATCCAGCTGTCTCGACCACAACAGCCACGACCCTGGGGATATGACACTCTTCGCTGACTCTGAGAATCCCCCAATTTCTCGTGGTTTCGAGTCGACGAAGGGTATCCGCAGCTTCCGAACAAGGGCTTCGTCGATCACGGCATAGCAGTCACATCCACAGTCGACAAGGGCGCGTATTCGATAGCCTCGGTTTACCCGCGCGTTGACTAATACAGTCCGACTATTCATTCGTGGCTTGAACGCTTCCCAGTCCCGGATGTCTGCCTTTGCAGGCCCCGGCGCCCGCTTTCGCCCCGGGGCTAGTCTTTTCCCGCCGACTCGTCCTCACTGGATGCTGCGGTTGATTCCGAATCATCTGCGGCATCGGGCTTCTTCATGCGCGCAGCTTTAGGTCGCTGTTGCTTCCTTCGCCAGGAAAGACCACCTGGGCTGGGCAGTCCACGATAAGATGATCCGTCCGACCACAGCGATAGCAGCGGCGCTCATCCTTCGGCTTCTTATCGACATGTCGACGACCCTTCGACTCGTGGCCAATACGGTTGATGTCCGTCATCTTAACATCTCCGTCGGGGTCCTCCGGTTCCTCCTTGGGTCGTTGCCTTGGTAGCTGTTGAGGCGTCCGCTCAGTCGACGTCGGCTGCCTACCGGGTTTCAGTCTCTCAATCTGCCCGCAATTTCCTGAACTCTCGCAAGCCATCCCTGGTAGTCGTCGGGTAGGACGGCTGTGACCAAACTCTCTTGGAGGCGTGCATTTATTGCGTTCTCTAGAAATACGATCTTTGCACTGTCCGGCCAGTCTGCTCCCGGCTTCAGCTAATGCCTGTTCGAATCGGGGAAGGAAGGACGCGAGAGGTTGGTCTTCGCGCTGCCGCATAGTTCTCAGCGTGGCAGCAGCGCGGGATTGGATGTTGCTGTCCTGGTAGGTTCGGTCGAGGTATCGCATGAACTCTGGGGTCGTAGCTACCCCAGGGCCTCCGCGGCGTAAAGGTAGCTACCACTTGCTGTGGTCGCTCGTCCAAACATGAGTTGATGAGGTACCAAAGTTCGCGATTTCCACTGTAGTAGTGTGCATCAAGGTCCAGCTTGTCTCGCATCTGCCTGGCCCAGGCGGAGTAGCTCTTCCGTGAGCCGTCATACTTGGTGGGTTGGGCAACGGTTTCGCATTCCAGTACCGCAGGTTTTGGGAGGGCGTGCCCAAGCCAGGCGTGCTCTCGCCCAATCCTCGTGCCACTGGCGGCGATTGCAAGTCGGCGCTCTGCGGCTGCGCTCGCCCGAGTTGCTCCATCAGCAAGGAAAGTTGGTCCTGTAGAGGGCTGAGAGTCGCATTGACCGCTTCTTGAATGCGTTGGTCAATCCATTGCTGCTGGAGACTTGGGCTCACTCTGCTGGTCCATCCTGACGAGCAGTCTGCAGCTTGCGGTATTTAGAAGGAGCTCTAGATATGTGAAAGGCTGGCCCGGAGTTTATTCAACAAGCAGGTGCCTAGGTGTTGTCTATCTAGAGCTAAGGAGGAAAAGAAGCTGAACTCGAGGCGTAGCCTCGAGTGCGAGCTTATATTGCCCTTCTCGGAATGTTCTCGCAGCTTCTGGGTCCGCGGAGCGGGGCCGGTGTTGCCACCGGAGCACGACCCACCGGACCCGGTACAACCGGGTCCACCAGCCGGGCACAGCCCGTGACAGTTAATGTGGATAGGCGTAGCTCCCTCAGATGGGACAACGGGGGTATACCAAAGGGCTGGATCGATCTCAAAGAAGTCGATCTTGACAGCCGGGTGCTTTGCAAGTTGGTTCTCAATCTGCGCCGGGCTTGGGGGCGCGGTGATGTGACTGCTTCCGCGGGCACTGCTGCTTGTAGGTTCGGCAGACATCGTGACGGATAGGTTGATAGATGCGTTGCTGACGCAGCTGAGGGCTCGCAATGAGGGTCAGCCGTAGAATCCGCTTCGTGAGAGGTTTGTCAAAGGTCAGGGGCGTCTTCTGCTCTTAGCACAGTTGGCCTCGTACAAATGGCTTCGCAGCGAATTGCTTGAGGGACTGTCTCTTCCACCTTGCTGCTCTGTGGCTCCTTCGTGCCTGGAACCACTGATCAGTGAAGGTAGGTCACCGTGTATCGATACACACACGAGTCACAAAGAAGCTCTATTATAGCTATGATCATGACTTGTCTTTCTCCTCTTAAGAGAGAGATAGAGACAGAGATTCTACGGAGCAAAACACATCGGGCTAGGGCCAACATTCTTCCGTGCAGGAGGGTGCGGGGGTCCGAGACAGAGAGGGAGCAATTGACCATTCCAACAATGCATCAATTTTTAACATTTTTTGCCCTTTTATTATTAGGGATACCAATAATTATGGTGTTAAGGTGACTGGTTCAGGTGGGTGACCTGGACAGGTGGTGAGGACCCACTTTACGTGGGGCTGTGGGACGAGTACTACTACTAATGTAGAAAGTGGTGGATGGATAACTACTTTGGGCACCCAGGGTGCGCCGTCTGTCTGAATGTGCACCCGGGTGCCCATGTATCGGTCGCCCTTGTCTCGCCATGAAGTGCGGGCCGCGTCGGTGGGAAGTTTTTGAGCGGGTAGGGGGTGTGACCGGGAAGGGGGTGGATTACGTTACCGATTAGGTATAGTCCGCTCCGGTGGCGTAGTCACGACCAACGGCCTGAGCACTGCTGAGGTAACAGATGAATCCCACACTGCGGTTCTTAATGGCGCGCCCGGGCGCGCAATTTTATTTGGGCGGCCGCCTGTAAGGCCCCTAAAAGGGGGGTCCGGGCACGCCCCTTTAAGGGACACACACACAATACATACATATCTCTGTGAGCCTCATCGGCTTCGCCCTGCCCGACTTGATAGCTCCACCGCTTTTCGCTGTGACCTTCCTATTCGGGCATCACCCAGAACCTCTAGTTCTGACAGCAACACGACCGTCAAAGAAACAGGTATTGTGCCCCCCTCTCCGGCACTTAGGCCCTCAGAACTCAAGCTCTATCTTGATCCTTGCTTGGGTATCTGAAACACCCTTTTTAATTCCCCTCCGTCTGGAAAGCGAGAATCCCTTCCTCTCTCACTTCACTCGCCCGTAAAGTACGGTTCACAGCTAGCCCTAGGGTTAGTGATGAAAATAAGTGCAATGGCTATATAGACTATAAAGTGATTTAATCCTCCCAACCCGAATTCTTTGCTCTTTATCTCCGACTCTTCGTCTCTCGCTCCTCGGACGGATCTTTATATCGCTACCATGGTTGCCCTAAAATACCCTACTCTTGCCCTTTCAGCGGCGGCCGCGTCTCTCGCAGCTCCGACTGAGCGCATCGAGCGCAGCTCTGAGCCCAACTTCGAGCTCGACGTGACCCTGGATCTCGTTAAGCGTCAGAACTATACCCAGGACTATGTTACCAGTGGCACCGTCAACTATAGTCCGTCGAGCAACGGGTACTCGGTCACCTACTCCGGCGCCGGAGACTTTGTCGTCGGCAAGGGCTGGAGCACTGGCAGCACTAGCAGGTGCGTCCTCAATCTTTCATTTTGTTAGTGTGATTGATCTAAACACTGTCTAGAGCTATAACCTTCTCTGGATCCACGTCTGCCACCGCCGGCACCAATCTCGTTTCCCTCTACGGCTGGAGCACAAACCCGCTCGTGGAGTACTACGTCCAAGAATGCTACACCGGCGGCTCCGCCGGCCAGGGCACTGTCAAGGGCACCCTCACTAGCGACGGCTCGACGTACACCGTCTACGAGCACCAGCAGGTCAACCAGCCATCCATCCAGGGCACGACGACCTTCAGCCAGTACATCTCCGTGCGCTCGAGCCAGCGGTGTTCCGGCGGCACCATCACCTTCGCCAACCACGTCAAACAGTGGGCCTCGTACGGCATGAACTTGGGCACGATGAACTACCAGACCATCTCTACCGAGGGCTGGGGTGGCGCTTCAGGATCGAGCAACTACACTGTCTCCGGCTGAGAGCCTTGGGCGTGCGAACCACGTCCGTTGAACTAACGACGGAGCAGAGCGAAAAAGCAGTGCTTCGGCCTGTAAATAAAATCTAAGAAATGTTAGTTTTGTTGTGCAATAATTTAGCAACTCTTAGGTAAAACTTTGGAATGCCTTCATATTCATCTTCAGCAGATAAAATGCTCGTCCAATTGAACGTAGTCGACCAAATCTTGTAATTCTTATATTACTCTCGGCGTGTCCGTTTCTGAAGGTTCCAAATCTACGTCACGTGGCGTGGCCGCGGCGCTCTCGACCACGTTACTCTGCCTCTCGCTTATTCCCTCTCCTCCTTGCTATTAAGTACCTCTTTCGTTGATGGATCCTTATGGCTACTTGATTACTTCTTCTACTCTCTTCCTGTTGGAGGAGACCAGCTGTCTCTAGAAGGTTCTATGGGCACAACGACTCTATCGGCTATGTCTACATAAGACCTAGCCTTGAACTCCTTTCTGTAGCTCGAAGGCATCATCAATCAAGATCATTCATTCACTCTTTCCGAGGCCGCGTGTGCGGACAACACGTCCCTCATTTCCGCCTGGCTAATGGCAAAATTATCGTATCGCGCTCGGGCGCTTAACGCCTAACGCCTAACGTGCAAAATGGTCCGAGGAAAAGAAAAAGGGGGGGGTGGTGTCGTTCTCTATACCGTCAGTGCACCAGAAGGAACGAGCGCGGAATAAGTAGAGCGTGGCACGGGTACTCGTCTCACCTAGAATCGTTCTCTAGGGTTTGAATGGCGGGGAAGTAGGAAGACTGTCACACACAGACCAAGTGCCATAACTGTCAGTTGCGCACCACTTGCTGGAGCGCGCGTTCTACTTTTGGTGCAATAAAGACAGAAGGATGACGTTGCGTTGCGTTTCAGAACGAAATCAATTGCCCGTTTGTGAGTGCACGAATTGCATGACCCCAGCACGACAGCATTTTTTCTGACGGCTAATTCATCATGAAACCCAGTTATTCTCAGATCGATAGTCGGCACAAGACCACGTACCTTTATCGGCAGCAATGCTGTAGAACAGCTGTGATGCGGGTTCCATAGTGTCACTCGCTTAGAGACCTGGGTTGCGTCATCTGAAACCGAAGTGGGGATCGCGACGCGCGGGAGGACCTATATAGGGGATAACCACAGCCCGCTGGAGGAGCTCTTTAGAGATTAACAATTGCATCACTGACCCCCGTTCTTTACTCTCCGTTTCGTTGTGATTGTGCTCCTGTTAGCTAGTATAGGCACCGCTGTTAGTAGGTCACCTGAAGGATCAAGGGAGGGCCACCTAAAGGATTATTATAAGGCTATATATCGGGAACCTATAAAGACCTTACGTATAGGGCTAGTTTAGTGCCTATATAAGTCACCTAAGGGTCCCTCTTACTATGGTATAAATAGGGCCCTATAGCTGATTCTTTCTAGCTAGATTATATATCTTTATCCCTTCTTATACTGCCCCTAGCTTATAAGTACTAGAATAATAGTCTATTAATAGCTCCTTATATATAGCCTAAACTAGTTTTAATACCTAGCTAGCTTAACCTATACTAAAGTTAGACGCTACGCTATTTTAATCTTTAATATAGCCTCTATACCGGTTATACGCGTTAGGTAGACCTAGTTTATACTATATTATTATTATATAGTTATTCCCCTTAATTAAGGGCTATATAGCTAGTTTCTACTTACTTTTATTTATAAAGAAGCTAGAACTAAACTTACGACTACCTAGGGCTATATTAAGTTTACGCGAAGCGCTGCTAGGCTTATAAACTATTAGATAACTATTATACTACTAGTAAAAGTATAAGCTAATAATAGTATATATACGATACTTTCCTATATATCTTCCTAATAACTCTTATTTTAGATATAAGCTATCCCCGTCGATCCTTACAAGCCTTATAATATAGTAAAGTAGTAGTAGTATTCTTTCCTTTAAAGTAATACTAAGTTAAAGGTATAAGAATTATAATATTAATAGGCTTTTAGTTTAAGGTAGAGCTATATATATTAGATAAGATATAAACTATACGATATATTAAAGGAGTTATATCTCTTATCTCGATTTTATAGTTATTTAATATAACTATTATTTAAATTATTAAAGTATATACTTAAATATTAGTACTATCTATCTCCTATAATATAATTAAATACTATATAAGTCCTCCTCCTTTCTAGCCTCTTTAATAGGGCCTTCGCCGCCTTTAGTTTTAGCTACTTAACTTACTTCTAAGACTATTATAAGCCTTCTTACGCGTAGTTTAATAAAGCTACTATTAATAAGCTAGTTTAGACCTATAATAAGAATAATAGCCCTTTTAGTAACCTAAATATATAAAGTAGATATAATAGTAGTATAGCCTTTATATATATAAATAACTCCTTATAAGCTATTAATAATACCCTTATATATAGGTTTACTACTACCGCTATTACTAGTAGAACTAAGTCTAGCTAGTACTATATATACTATTTATATAGACCTTACCTACCCTCCTCTTTCTTATACCTAGCTAACTCGCTTTATAAATTAAGGTATAAGTTTATATTTAGTACTATCGCGGGAAAGACTATAGTAGTCTAGTCGACTAATATAAGGGGCGACCTATTTAATAACTACTTCGACCTTATAATACTTAGCGGTAGCGTAGGTATATTCGATAGCTATATACTAAAGTTTAGCGCTATCCCTAGCGACCGCTATAGTAGCGTATTATTAAGGGACTAATATAATTAAATACCTGCGAAGCTTAGGGCTAGTTACTTTTAGCGGTTTAACTAGTTCTTAAATATAGATAATCTAGACTTTATATTTAAGTAGGTAAAGTGCTTATTAGCGCTAACTACTATTATAGGATATATAAGGAGCGATAACTTAAGGTTCCTAGAGGTATTATAAAGCATAATATACTTAGGCTCTTAGGATATAATATATTAACTAAAAAGTAGCTATTAAAAGGAGGTAAGTAAAAAATATTATTAGTTAAATAGTTATAGCTATATATTATATAAATAGAGTATTAAGGTAGGAACGGTTAATAAGAGTTAAGAAGAGCTAGTAAAGCTATCTTTAATTAATTAAATAAGATTTATTTAAAGAGAAAGAGCTTAATAACTAAGCATACTAAGTTATATAGCTCTTTATAAGAGCCTTTAATCGTACGTACTTAACTCTTAACCCGTTCGTACCCCGCTTACCTTAATAGTAAATATAACGCTAACCTTATCCTTTATACTCTATTTTAGACTACGTCTCGTTTTTAAAGAGGCTATAGCGAAGTTACTAAAAGAGAGGATAGGGTTAAGGAAGGGTTAGGAAGTTAACTAACTCCTTTTAGTAAATCTAAAGTAGCTTAGTCTACTTAAGTAGTAGTATACTCTATAGCCTTATAGCCGGTTATAGATTGCCTTTTCGTACTACTATGCGATTTAAACCTCTTTAGCTAGGCGGATATAGTGCGTCTAGTAATTCCGGAGGTAGGAGAGCTCTTAACTATACCTACGCCCGGAAATCTACTATTAGGCGGTTATTCTATAAGCAAAAGAGCCTTAAGAACGCCTCTACCTACTATCCGCCGAGGCTCCCTTATACTTAAACGACCTTTAATCCTAATTAAAGAACCGTGTTCTTACTACTATCTTAGTAATAATCCCCCGGATTTTTATAACCTCGAAAGCTAGCTACTTTATATAAGACATAGTCTATATTTATAAGGAACGGTATTCCTACTATAAATAAAGCAGCTATAATATACTCTCCTAATTATATAAGCTAATAAGTAGTATATTAATTATAGATAAAACCCTATCTTATAGAGTAAGAATCGCTTATTATTTTATATGTTATTATATATTAAACGGGTTGCCGGTTATCGTATAATCGGGAATCGAAGGAATAGAGCTAGCTTAGAATACTAGCTAAAACCTCTTAAGACCTCTTAAGAGCACCGGCACGGCTAACCTCCTTTAAATATAAATATTAGTAGAACTAAGATACTTCTAAATATACTTAAGGTATCACGGAATTCCTTAGTCTTAGGGCTATACGGAAGCCTAAATCTAGTTCTAAAAGGTTCTTCTATTTAGCTATAATTATCTATATAAGATAGTATATCCGCTAGTAGATAGAGAAAAAATCTTTAACTTTAATACCTCTTCTATATACTAATATACTACTAATAAATTCTATTAAAAATCCTACCTTATACTCCTTCTTCCCCTTTATTACGTATCTATTATATAGTTTTACGTAATTCCTTAATTTCCTAAAATTCCGCTTTTACTTATATACCTTAATAATATTATATAATAAAAGGCACGGATAGTATAGGTAACTAAGTAGCGATCGGGAAGAAGATCCCTTATAAATTAAGTAATAAAAGACTCTTAATTCTCTATCTAAGTAATAGTAAAAAGTTAGCTTCTTATACTTATAATTTTAAGCTAAGTAGCGATATTACTACTTAGGTAGTATAAATAATAACGTTACTTAGAAGGTTTAAATCTATTACTAATATAGTATTATAAACTACTTACTACTTATTAGGTAGTATAGTAAATAAGCGTTTTAATCTTAATATTATTAAAGTACTAGAGCTTAAAGGCCGCTAAAATATAATAGAAACGTAAATTTAGATATAGAAAAGTATTTAAACATTCCTAATAGTATTTTTCTAGTCTTAGATAATATTTTCTATGTTCCTTTAACCTTAGTAAAGGAAACGGTGCGTAAATAACGATTTTTATACGTTCCGCTTATAATAAATCAGAGTTTTTTATAGGATATAGGTATATAAGTATAAAAGAAAATTTATTTCTAAATAAAGTATATCTTAATATATAGCCTCGTAAAATTAGGCATTAATATAGTATGTTTTAGCATAGGTATTAATAAGTATAAAGAAGTATAGTTTTATAGAATCGCGAAAATAATATATATAAATTATCGACTAGCTAGTATATATAATTAATA